AATATTGTGTTCTCCCACAACTGCAACCACAGACACTCCGCTGTTAAAAGAAAAACAGAATTTTAAGACTTGTTCTTCAGGCAGGAAATCTGAGAACATCCGAGAGGGAAATTTCCAATTTTCGAAAGGGACTAATTCACTGAATGCTTTGCTTTTTCCTCCGTCCTAACTGACCGGAGGTATTTTCATACCTTCGGACGCAGTGGGCAGCCGTCAGAACCCAGCGGCTGTGAATCAAAGTTCCTCCACAGATGTGTGCCGACCAGTCACTGTAGAAAACCCGCAATGAGACCTGAGCCCAGCAGCAACAACAAAAAGAAAACACTGAGGTCCACAGGCCAGTAGACGGAAAATATGTACGTTATGCAATTAGTGTTCCTCGCTGTGCAAGCAGTTCATTCAGACCAACTCACTTTATACAAAACCCCCCTCTCTTTAGTGAATGTACTCGATTTGCATTGATAAATCATTACAGGTCTCTAAATGCATACACATCTTCATGGCGGTGATCGGTCCCGCATACCCACGCAGGACAGCACACCTCTCGGTGCTGTTGGAACACACACAGGCAGACATTCACAATGGGTGGTCAATGAAACTTATTTCCTTACTAGTTCTATTTTTCATTAAGTACTGCCTTCGGCTTTCACTCAGGGCTCTGTCATTTGCCGAGCTATTGTGTGTTTGCTATCTCGTAGTTTCTTTGCGTCTGTTTTAGTTTTTTTTTTTGCTCTCAACCTTTCTGCGCTTGCTTACGTATTGCAACGCTTTCCCTGTTCCTTGCCACTACCGCACTGCAGCCCTGAGTGCTGTTTTTTATAGCTTTCTTTTCTTCTTTGGAAGCCCCTTTTTCTTTTGCTGTGGTGTTTCCCACCTCTGCATTGCACGAGAGCTGCATTGCACGAGAGCTGCTTGTGAACCCTCGACCAGACGCGCCTATTCTTTCACTGCGCCACATCAATAAATACATGCTTTGAATAATACTTTTGATTAAATACTGTCTAT